TACCTTTTTAATTTTTTTGGTTTTTTTGCTGTTTCCTTCCTTCTTCTTTCTTCCACTTCTGGGTTTAACCTGCCATTAACATCTTAGTTTTTTATTATTGGACAACTAATTTCAGTCTTCATGTTTTAAAAATAAATTTATATTATATTCATATTCATTTCCATGTGTCACTTTAGGTATATTTTATAAGTTTGAGACCAGTCCTTCTCTATTCAGTTGTAGATAACACTTTAATTTCATCAGGATTCCTAAAAATTAATTTTTCTAATTAAACTTTTTACTTTTATTTTTTTAATGTTTATTTATTCATATTTGAGAGAAAGAGAGAGTGTGAGCACGTGAGAGCAGCCCAGTACAGGGCTTGATCCCACAAACCATGAGATCATGACCTGAACCAAAATCAGAACTCGAGTACTTAACTGACTGAGCCACCCAGGCAACCCAACTTTTTATTTTTAAATAGTTGTAGATCACATGCAGTTGTAAGAAATAATATGGAGAGATGCCATGTACCCTTTACCCAGTTTCCACATTGATAACATCTTGCAAAACCAGGATACAACATTAAAACCAGGGCATTGATATTGACAGAGCTAAAACACAGAATAGTCCATTCCCCACAAGATACCTCATGTTGCCCTTTGTTAGCCACTCACGTTCTTTTTCCCAGGCCACCTGTCCCATCCTCTTGACAACTCACTCCTTTCCATTTCTAAAAATTTTTTATTTCAACATATTATAAAAAGATTTACATAGTAGATGACCTTTCTAGGGTTGACTTTTATGACAGCCTAATACCTTAGATATTTTTTGAAGTGGTTGCATGTAACAATAATTCATTCCTCTTTATTGCTGAACAGTGTTCCATGATGTACTACAATTGGTTTAACCCTTCACCTTTTAAAGGACATATGGATTGTTTTTAATTTGAAGCCATTACAGATAAAGGTGCTATAACCATTTGTGTATAGGTTTTTATGTAAATGTCAGTTTTCAAGTTTCTGAGATAAATACGGAAGAGCACAATTGTGGGATTGCATAGTAAGTATAAATTTCATTTTATAGGAGGAAATGTCAAAGTATTTTCCAGAGTGATGGTACCATTTTACATTACCATCAGCGAATGCGTAAGTGGTCCAAATTCTCTATACCTCTGTCAGCATTGGTACTGTCGTTCCCCTTTTTATTTCAGATATCTTGGTAGGTGTATAGTGATATTTCACTGTGGTTTTAATTTGCGTTTCCTTAGTGGTTAGTGATGTGAAATATCTTTCTACATGTCGCCTGCATATCTTCTTCAATGATTTCGCTGAATTTTTTTTTTTTAATATTTTATTTATTTCTAGGAAAGAGAGACAGCATGAGCAGGGGAGGGTCAGAGAGAGAGGGAGTGACAGACTCTGAAACAGGCTCCAGGCTCTGAGCTGGCAGTCAGCACAGAGCCCGACACGGGGCTCGAACCCACGAACCACGAGGTCATGACCTGAGCGAAAGTCGGACGCTTAACCAACTAAGCCACCCGGGTGCCCCTCGCTGAATGTTTTTTTCATGTTTTTTGCCCATTTTCTATTTGGATTGCTTCTTTGGGTTTTTTTTTTTTTTACTATTGAGCTTTAAAATATATACATATATATCTGGAGTATACATATTCTAGATACTCTTTCTTTGTTGGATGTGTGGTTTGCAAATAATTTCTCCCAGTTTTTTTTCATTTGCCACATTTATACTGCAATATGATTGCATTGTAGCATTAGCTAAATTCTTTGTCACATCACATAATTATCATTTCTTCTAGTGGTGGAAACAATTAAGATATAGTCTCTTAGTAAGTTTAATGTGTATAATACAGTTTTATTGTCTATAATCACTGTACTGTGTATAAGATCTCTAGGACTTGTTTATCTACTAGTTAAACTAAGTAATCTTAAACAATATTTCCTCCATTGCCCCATTGCCCAACCATTCCAACCTCTATATTTTTTAATTCATTTCTGTTTAGATTCCACATATAAGAGATATCATACAGTACTTGTCTTTCTCTGTCTGACTTCTTTCACGTCGCATAATGTCCTCAAGTTCTATCCACGTTGTTGCAATTGGCAGGATTTCCTCCTTTCTCGTGGTAAATAGTATTTCATATATACATCACATTTTCTTTCTCCCCTTGTGCATTAACAGACACTTAGGTTGTTTTCGTATCTTGGCTGTTGTGAATAATGCCACATAATAATAAACATGGGGATGCAGATATCTCTTTGATCACCTGTTTTTATTTCCATTGGATATATATCCAGAAGTGAGATTGCTAGATTGTATGGTAGTTCTATTTTTATTATTATTTTTTAAAGTAGGCTCCAGGTCCAACAGGGGGCTTAAACTCATGACCCTGAGGTCAAGAGTAACATGCTTTACCGACTGAGCCAGGTAGATGTCCCTATTTTTAATTTTTTGAGGATTGTTCATACTGTTCTTCATAGCAGCTAAACCGTTTTACAATCCCATGAACATTGCATGAGGGTTCTTTTTCTTCACAGACTCACCCACACTTGTTATCTCTTGTTGACATTAGCCACTCTAATAGGTGTGATATCTCACTGTGGTTTTAATTTACATTTCCCCAATGATGGATGATGTTGAACACCTTTTAATGTACCTGTTGGCCATTTAGATGTATTCTTTGGAAAAGTATCTATTTAGTTCCTCTGCCAATTTTTTAATCAGATTGTTTGGTTTTCTTATTATTGAGCTGTATGAATTCTTCATAAATTACATGGTTTGCAAACCCAATACATGGTTTGAAAATATTTTCTCCTATTCCATAGGTTGCCTTTTAATTTTGTTGATTGTTTCCTTTACAGTGCAAAAACTTTTAAGTTTGATGTAATCCCATTTGTTGATTCTGTTGTTGTTGTTTCTGCTTTTGGTGTCATACCCAAAAACTCACTGCCAAGGCCAATGTCAGGGAACTTCTTCCCTATGTTTTCTTCTAGGAGTTTTATGTTTGTACATCTTATGTTTAAGTCTTTGATCCATTTTCAATTTCTCCCAGTTTTTAGCTTTTCTTCTTGTGCATTTAGTAAGAGCAAAAGTTCTTCTCATTACGAGATCTAATTTGTTGATTTTTCCTGTTATGGATTGTGCTTTTAGCATCAAGCCTAAGAACTCTGCTTATCCCAGAGATATTTTCCTATGAATTTTTTCCTAAATTTTAGTTTTAACTCATTAGTTTTCAACATTGTGCTATTTAGTTTCCATTAGTAATGGTTTTGTCTTTTTAAAGAAACTGTCCTTTGTGGGGCACCTGGGTGGCTCAGTCAGATAAGCATCCGACTTCAGCTCAGGTCATGATCTCACAGTTTGTGGGTTCGAGCCCCGCGTCGGGCTCTGTGCTGACAGCCAGCTTAGGGCCTGGAGCCTGTTTCAGATTCTGTGTCTCCTTCTCTCTCTGACCCTCCCCTGCTTGCTCATCTGCTCTCTCTCTGTCTCTCAGAAATAAACAAAATATAAAATTTAAAAAAAAAAGAAAAAGAAACTGTTTTTTGATTAATGATTTCAAATTTAATTGTTTGGGGATCATGACACATGCTACTCTGCTTTTTCTTCCATTAATTTCTGACCTCCCCTTTACTCTTCCTCTTTTTATTTTTAACTTATTTGGTTTTACTGTAATGTTATTATTCTGGCATATTAGATACACACAAATTGAGCATCTTTTTCACTTATTCTCAAAACAAATTCCACTTAACACACCCACAAGTTTTGATTTGTTATGTAGTGTTTTCATAGTCATGAAATTCCAAACATTTCACACATTCCAACATGTTTTTCTTCCTTATTCATGGATGAATTAGGAGCATGATATTTTTAGTATCAAAATTTTAAGCTATTGTTTTAATGTTGATATGTAATAGATTACATGGAAGTGAAGGAAAAGCATCTGTACAATACTGACTCTTTGGAATTCTTCAGACTTTGTAATTTAGTGTAAGGTCCGTTTTGAAATATTTCATATGTGCCTGAAAAACATGCATATTCTTTATTTATTTATATATGAAATTCCTATATACCTATTATCTCAAACATAATTTTGTTAAGAAAATTTTACCCACCCTTACTAATCTTCGATCTGATGCTTGATTTACTCATTACTGATATAAGTGACTTAATATTTTATACCACCATTATGGTTACAACATATTCTCCTTATAATTTTGATAGTTATTGTATTCTATCTGTTGGTATTATAGCCAGGTTCATTCCATTATTTTGCCACATAATACTCAGTGTTGAGGGTAGACCAAGTAAAAGACCCTGCCACATCATAATGTAATGTCCCTCCATTTTTTCTATTAAGGACCTTTACCTGAAATTGTATTTGGTCTGATATTAATATTACAACACCAGCCGTGTTTCAGGCAGAATATTTCTTTGGTTAATGTCTTTCTATATCTTTATTCTCAACTTTTATGGGTCATGTTGTTATAGGATTGTTCTGTAAGGTACCATAAATCTTCTTTTTTTTTCTAAGTATAACCTGACAGTTCTATATTTTAATAGGTAGGTTTTATCCGTTCACATACATTATGATTATAGATTGTATCTATTTGTCTGTTTTTGAAATTGGGTTTATTTCAAACATTTTTGCTTCCTGATTATTATTTTTCTCTGCTTTTCCTCCTGTTTCTCTCCTTTCTATTATATTAATAAAGTTATTTTGTATTCTTCCCTTCATCTAACTTTTGTTAGAAAATTGTATATATTATTTCCTACTCTGTTAGTAGTTACTATCAAATTTTTGTTATTCGTACTTAAATTTTTGCTACTTACACTTAAATATATGTTTTTCAAGCAAAAACTAGTGTACTTTATGTTGCTCTTTCCCCTCCTAAAAGTAATCATTTTAACAGACTCTTCCAATTTTCTCTTTATGGCCAATTATAATTTAGTTCCATCTTATAAAAGCAAAAATATTAACAATTAATCATTATAATGACACTTACCATAGTACTTTCTAATGTTTCCTTACTTTGCTTGTGTCCACCTATTCTTCCCCTCTGAGTTCACTTTTCTTCTTCAGTCGTTAAGTCCTTATTGAGAACTTCCTCCAATACTGGGAGCTGTTTTAGACAGTTGAAACACACACATTGACGAGCAAAGGAGACAAAAATCTGTTCTTTTATAAATTTTTAAATTCCTGTGAAAATATCATCCTTATTAGTTCTTTTACAGAAGTTTTGTATGTGATATAAAACTTTCTTGACCTGTGTATATCTGCAAACATCTTTATTTCAAACCTGCTCTTAAACAGTTGCTCTGTTGATGGTAAAATTATAAGTTGACGTTTACCATTTATTTCCTTTATGGCTTCTCACTCTTGAGTCTTAAAAGGGGTCCCCTTCCCAGATAATGAAGATATTTCATGCTGAAGCTTCGCATAATCTTTGTTCTATTGTGCATATGACTTCTTAATAAGAATGATTTTATTTTAAAAGGTTAATTTTTACTTTTTTTTCTTATTTAGAAGATTAATCTTTTCCCTGCTGTTATTTCTTTTTGCTGCTGATAATTTTGCTATCAAATATAATTGGCACTTATTTATAAGTAATCTTTTATCTCCTTGGTGGCTTTGATTGTTACCTTTTATGTTTTGTAGATTTATAAAATGTGAATTTGTTTATATTCTATTGGGTACTATGGTGTCCTTTCAAAGTGAAGAGTCATGTAACTTTTATTAACAATTATCATCTATTATTCTTTGTTTAAACCTTAAAATGAAAATAAAACACATATGCAGAAAAGTGTGCCAATTGCATATGCTCAGCTAGATGGATTATCACAACTGCAAGATTATCTAATTGATGTCTAATTTTTTACTTATGTCAATTTTTAAATTTTACTTAAGTCATGTATTATATATTCCCTCATTTCTGGCTTCTTGACTTCAAGATTATATTTGCGAGATTCAGTCATGTTGTTACATACAAATTGTATAGATCATTTATTGGCATTGTTTTATATATTTCAGGGTGTGAATCAGCCAATACTTATTCATCATTTCTTTGTTCAGTGTTTAGCTATTATAGATAATGTTGCTATGAATATTGTGTAAAAGGCTCTGGGTATACATGTGCAGAATTTCCCTTGGGTATGTTTCCCAGGAATAAAATTCCTGGATCATAAGGTGAATTGTAAACTCTAAATGCTCTACTTTAGTAGAAACTGACACATACTTTTACAAAGTAGATGTACCAATTACACTCCTTCAGAGGAGACTCCATGTCAGTCTTCTTTTTTTATATAAAATATTTTAAATGTTTACTTATTTTTTTGAGAGACAGAGTGACAGAGCATGAGTGGGATAGGAGCAGAGAGAGGGGGAGACACAAAAGCAAGCTCCAGGCTCTGAGCTGTCAACACAGAGCCCAGTGCAGGGCTCAAATCCACAAACCTTGAGATCATGACTTGAGCTGAAGTCAGACGCTTAATCTACTGAGCCATCCAGGCACCTCTCCATTGTCAGTCTTCTTAATTTTAGCTATTTTGGTCTGTGTGTAGAAATAGTTTATTGTGGCTTTAGTTTGCATTTTCTGATTACTAATGAAGTTGAGCAAGTTTTTACATGTTTATTTGTAATTTGACTCTTTTGTGAAGTCTTTGTTCAGACCTCTTTCTGAAATTTCTATTGATTTATCTATTTTTTTCTTATTTAGTTTTATCTATCACTTATCATCTATCTATTGATCATCTATCTATCATCTAGCGATTATTTATCTATCTATCTTAGAGAAAGAGAGAGAGCACACGTGCACGACCAAGGGAGAGAAGCAGAGGGAGAGAGAGAAAACCTCAAGTAGGCTCCATGCTCAGTGCAGAGCCTGACTTGGGGCTCAATCCCCATGATCCTGGGAACATGACCTGAGCTGAAACCATATATATTATATATATAGTAGAATCCTATATGAACAGCTATATGTTACATATAACATATATATGCTATGTATAACAGTTATATTACAGTTTATAATCCTGTATGAACTGTTCATAAGCTAGTTAGATTTTCACAAAGTAATCTCCTCCATTACTGCAATCCTGTAGGAACTTTTATGCCTACTTCCAATTATTAATATCTTCTTTCTCCTCAAAAGTAATGACTATACTGACTTCTAAGACCATTGGTTAACTTTGCCTTTTTCAAATATATATTTATGTGACTAGAATTCTAAGAACATATTTTTTTGTGTCTACTCCCTCAAGCTTATATGAGAGATTCACACTATAATTACATGTGGCATTAGTTTATTTCTTCTCAGGGTTCTAGAGAAGTACTTTCCTATAAACCTCTGTAATGATAGAAATTTTTTATATTATTTGCTATCCAATATGGTAGACACTAACCACATATGGCTACTGAGAATGTGAAATGTGGTTAGTGTGAGTGAGTAATAGAAAGTTTTATTTTCTTTAATTTTAAATAATTTAAGTGTAGATAGCCACCTGTGGCTAGCGATTACCATGTTTGACATTACATCTCTAGAACAATCCAATGTAGCAGTTCTACTGTTTATGAATGTAAAAATTAATTTAATGAATAAAGCTGCTGTCAACATCTTCAAGCAAGACTTTTGGAACTCAGATGTACACATGTTGTTGCGTATATACCTAGGAATGGAATTGCTGAATCCTATCATACGCATATTTTAAGCTTTAGCAGATAAATGCCAGTTTTCAAAGGTAGCTTATACCAATTTATTCTTATACGTCAGTATATATGCAATCACAGCTCCTCCACCTTCTCAAACATCTTTGTCATTTTAGCTATTCTAGTGGATGTGTACTGTATTTCACAGCAATTTTAGTTTGTATTTAGCCAGTGCATAGTCAGGTTGAATCTCTTTCTTAAATGGTTGTTTGTTATTTGGAATATTCTACTTTTTGAAGTGTTTTGTTCATTTTTCTAATAGATTGTATTTTTTCTTAATGGTTTGTAGCAGTTCTTCATACACTCTGGATACTTGTGCTTTGGCACTTATATGAATTACAGCTCTCTTCTCCTAATCTCAATGGCTTATCTCTTCACTATTTTAATGGTGTTCTTTGATGAACAGAAGTTTCTGTTTTCATGTAATAGATGTATCCATCTCTTCCTTTATGTTTAATGTGTTTTATATCCCCAGGTCATGAAGATAACACCTTGTGTTATCTTTTGAAGCTCTGTTGCTTTACCTTTCCAATTTGATCTTCAATCCACCTAGAATAAGTTTTGTGTGTAGTGTGAGATAGGGATCAAGGTGCATTATTTTGTATATGATGCAAATTACTTTTTATTACTCAATGACCCGGAATCATTTATTTAAAAGGTCATCCTTCCCCCCACTATTCTGTAGCTCATTTTGGTCTTAAACAAATTGTTTGAGAATATGGGTTTGGTTTCTGGCCTTATTCTGTTCTACTGACCTATTTATCTGTCATTGCAGCAATACCAAACTGTTTAATTCCTGTATCTTTCCAATAACTTTGGTATCTGATAGCAGACCTCCTATCCTACAATCTTCTTCTATAATATTTTGTTAGCTATATTTGGCTCCTTCATCCCTCCATTTAAATTTTAGAATCCCTCATTAATTAAAAAAAAATTCAAGTGGGAAACTTGGCTCTGGTACATTTTATTTTTCATTCTTCAGAGTAGCAAAAGCTTTGCCTTTTTCTGTCTCTGTAATCAGAGTTCAACAAACCTGTTGTAAGCTTATCCACTATTTTGTATTTGTTATTTAGATACATAGAGGTACTTAGAGTAATGCTTTACATTTTAAAATGTTGAATGTTTTGTGTATGTTGCAATTTATAGGACTGGGAGAGAGCAAAGCAAAATCAAAGCTGAAACACAGTGCCAGTTTGACAAATAATTCCCAACATATATTCCCAGACCTTTGTCTCACAATTGTCCCTTTTTTAGTCCTCTCGATGGAATTCTTTGCCATTTGCAAAGCTTTGTTCTCACTATTCATTCAGCCTGATTCGCTCCCAATTTTAATTTTCCTGTGCATATCATAACTATATTTCAAAACTCATTCACATGTTACATCTTTCATATTTTCCCTAGTACACCCACCCAAAATTAATCTCTCTTTTAAACTTTCAAAATTTTGTTTATATTTGTTAGTAATATCACTTTTTACTTAATTTCATGGTTATTTGGCTTTATTTTATCTTCTATAATAAGGCTAAATTCTGTGATACAGGAAATATCTATTATATATAACTTTGTATTAGGTATGATTTCTAGAATAGTTCTTGACGTATAGCTAAGGGGATTCTATGTTCCGTTTTCTGAGGCAGCCCAGGCTTATGTTACTATCCTGGTGACTAAGCTGGTTACCAATCCTTCTAAGTTTCAACAGTGTCCTGGCTTAAATGTGATATTATATATGGTCATACATGATATACATGAAATATTATATATATCAGGTATGGTCATCTTATCCATATCTGAAGCTCAAAAACAATTTAACAATAACTTAACAATTAAATTGATGTTTGATGACAGGTTATACCTCTAAATGACCAAGAAAATAGTGATATTAATGGAAGGCATTCAGGAAGAGGGAATCTATGGAGTGGATAAAAAGAGTGACAAGTGTGCCTTGGATATATTGAGTGTAAGGTGGTAGAATGCAGTTACACATAGAAAGTAGGATATACAGTGGTGATTAAAGTGCAGAGAGCTAGGGGCACCTGGGTGGCTCAATCCGTTAAGCATCTGACTTCAGTTCAGGTTGTGATCTTGTGATTTGTGAGTTTGAGCCCCACGTTGGGCTCTGTGCTGACAGCTCAGAGCCTTGAGCTGCTTCAGATTCTGTGTCTCCTCTCTCTGCCCCTTTCTCACTCTTGCTGTCTGTCTGTCTGGCTCTCTCTTTCAAAAATAAATAAACATTAAAATTTTTTTTAAAGCACAAGGAGTTAAAAGCAGAAGAATTAAAGCAGCACTGGGCTCTGGGAACCTATAAGCCAGGTTCCATATTCTTCACACTGGGATTTAGCAGAGAACAAAGTAAAACTCCTGTTCTAATGGAGCTTAAAATGTAATGGGAACAAGTGAATTAGACAACTATTTATAAGTATCCTTTGTTGTCTGAAAGATGAAGCTGAGGAGAGTTAAGGTCAATCAAAAAATGCTTGGAGGGGCCCCTGAGTGGTTCAGTCGGTTAGGCATCTGACTTGATTTTGGCTCAGGTCATGATGTGATGGTGCGTGAGATCAGGGCTTGCATAGGTCTCTGTGCTGACAGCTTGGAATCTGCTTGGGATTCTCTCTGTCTCTCTCCGCCCTTTCTGACCCTGCACTCCCCCTCAAAAAAAAGTGTTGGGAAATGCTTTTGGGGGGATAAGGAAGGGGATTCAGATACTAATAAACTGGGAGAATAAAATATCAAAAATTTCAGGCTATAAAAAAAAGAGTGTGTTCTGATGTCTAATGCTAAGGAATAAAAAGAAAAGACGAAAGATTTAGAATTAATGTGTTGCACACATTTTGTAAAGGCGCACACGACTTGCTATCACCATCTACCACAATTTGTTGATGTCTTTACATAACTTTTTTGAGGAGGAGAAATACCTTAAAAGTCTCATAAAAAAGAGTATGAATTTGCCTTTTGTCTTGTTTGTTGCCAAAGTTTTGGTGACATTTTATAGCTGTTCAATTCCTAAATGTATTAGACAAGGTGGCATTGTGCTTATAACCAGCAACAGTTTTTAATTGAATGTGCCTTATTTTCTTACCAAAGTATATTACATGAACTTTTAGCAAAATCTCAATTTCTCTTTTCCTAACAAAATAAGTCTTCACTCATTTTAATTTCAGGAGGACAGAAACTTTGGCATTTGAAAATAGATCTCTACAAATATTTTTACAAAAATATTGTTTTCTTTTGTGGTTTTTTTCTTCAAATGTGGAGAGTTAAGAAACCACAAGTTTTTTTCCCATATGAGTAATTTCCTACGTAAGCAAAATAATAGCTTCTAAGAAAAGTTCGAAGCTTTCGAATAATTTATGATTGGAGCCAAATATTTCTTTGGGATTTTCCCACATTCTATCATGACAACTGTATATATACAAACTAAAACATCATATCATCAGAGTAATTCTATTTCCTATGAGTTCAATAACATTAAGAGTAATAACAACTAACACTTAAAAAGAGTTTATATTTTACAAAGAATTTTCACATGAGTTATCTCACTGGAGTCTTTTTTTTTTTTTTCTTTTTAGGTAGGTTTCATTCCCAGTGCGGACCCCAACCTAGGGCTTGAGCTCAAGGATCAAGAACTGAGCTGAGATCAAGGGTTGCATTAACTGACTGAGCTACCCAGGCACTTAGAGAAGTGAAGTCAGCTGACCTTAATCACATGGTGACTTAGAGGTAGGAACCTAGATTTTCTGAACCTAAACCCTTCACTCTTTTCAATAAGAATAGCTCCAAAATAAAATGAACTTATTGTTGGGCTGGAGGTAGCACGAAGCAAAAGAATAATGCTAATATCTCCATATCATTTTGACCTTTTGTGGGGGTTGGCAAGCGACACTCCATGGGTCAGATCTGTCACCGGTGTCTAATTTTTTGTAAATGTCCTCCAGCTACGCATACTGTTTATATCCTTACAGTTTATCAAAACAAACCAAAAACAAGCAAATACATGAAGAATATAAAACTGATACGTATGTGATCTTAAAGGCCTAAAATACTTACAATTTAGTCCTGTAGAGACTGATTTCGCTAATCTCTGTTTTATGGCATGGTTACGCACCTAGAGCACCTGCTTTCCTGGTAAAATGCTTCTACAGGCTGATGAGTTAGGCAGGTGGATCATCTTAGCTATTTTCAGGTACCTCTCTCTCATACCTCTCAGAAAGTCTCTGGGAACTGACCCACACAGTTTATGAAGCTAGTGAACTGAACCCAAGTGGTAAAGGGTAATTCATTCAGGCCTGGCATGCACCAGCCTTCTGCCTCCAGGGCCAGGCTGGCTATGTGCCATTGGTACTGTGCATATGGGAGCAATTTTGGAGTCATTCTACACTTCAAGCTTTCCCAGTAATGTTCTGGAATGTCAGGCTTAGAATCTACATCAATGTGGTTGCCTAGAGAGTATTTTTAAGTCATGAACACAAAAACACGGTGGCTTTCCCATTCTCATATTCTCTTTCAGAGCAATTGTGTGAGGGACTGCATAGGTGATCACGGACTTGAGTAGGTTCCCCTCTTTTTGAAGTATTTATTTATCTATCATTTAAAAGATTTAGGTGGGACTCATAATTGAAAGATATAATTTCTCTTCTTACTAGATACATCTCTGAAAACAAGGAAAACAAAAGCAAAAATGAACTATAGGGACTTTGTCAAGATAAAAAGCTTCTGCACAGTGAAGGAAACAATCAATAAAACTAAAAGGCAGCCTATGGAATGGGAGAAGATATTTGCAAATGACATATCAGATAAAGATTAGTCTACAAAGTCTCTAAACAACTTATCAAACTCAACACCCAAAAAAACCAAATAATCCAGTGAAGAAATGGGCAGAAGACATGAATAGACATTTTTTCCAAAGAAGACATCCAGATGGCTAACAGATACATGAAAAAATGCTCAGCACCACTCATCATCGGTGAAATACAAATCAAAACCACAATGAGATATCATCTCATGCCTGTCAGAATGGCTAAAATTAATAACACAAGAAACAACAGGTACTGGAGAGGATGTAGAAAAAGGGAAACTCTCTTGCACTGTTGATGAAAATGCAAACAGGTGCAGCTGCTCTGGAGAACAATATGGAGGTTCCTCAAAAAGTTAAGAGTAGAGCTACCCTATGACCCAGCAATCTCACTACTAGGTATTTTCCCAAAGCATACAAAAATACAGATTCGAAGTGGTATGTGCACCCCAGTGTTTATGGTATTGGTACCAACAATAGCCAAACTATGGAAAGAGCCCAAATTTCCATTGACCAATCAATGGATAAAGAAGAGGTGGTATATATATATATATATATATATATACACACACATACATATAATGGAATATTACTTGACCATCCAAAAGAATGAAATCTTGCCATTTGCAATGACCTCGGTGGAGGTAGAGTGTATTATCTTAAGCAAAATAAGTCAGTCAGAGAAAGACAAATACCATATAGTTTCACTAATATGTGAAATTTAAGAAATAAACCAGATGAACATATGGAAGGAGGATAAAATAAAAAGAAAGAAGGAAACAAACCATAAGCAACTCTTAAAGATAGGGAGCAAACTGAAGGTTGACGGAGGGACATGGGTGGGGGATGGGCTGGATGGGTGATGGGTTTTAGGAGGGTACTTGTTATAACAAGTACTGAGTGTTGTATGTAAGTGATGAATCGCTGAATTCTTCTCCTGAAACCACTACTGCACTGTATGTTATCTAACCAGACTTTAGATAAAAATTTCAGAAGAAAAAAAGAAAAGATAGAGTTGCTAAAGTTGACTTTTCCATCATATACTTCTATTGAATACTTACTATGTGTAAGACACTGTATCAAAAGCTAGGAATGCAGAAAACAATAACACACAATCTTCACCCTCGGGAATTCATGTTTGTTGAAGGAGGTAGTCATGTAAATAATTACATTAACACATTGTACTAGGTATTGAAGAGAAATTGAATGGAAATACATAAATGCATTTTTGGCATTGAGTATGCCGGGTCTCGACAATGCCTATAGACTTTTACAGCTAAAATTAATTTTAAGATAGCCCTTTACTAGGGGACCTGGATGGTTCAGTTGGTTAAGCATCCAACTTCACCTCAGCTCATGATCTCTCAGTTCGTGGATTCGAGCCCCTCGTCAGGCTCTGTGCCGACAGCTCAGAGCCAAGAGCCTGCTTCGGATTCTGTGTCTCCTTCTCTCTCTGCCCCTCCCTTGCCCAAGATCTGTCTGTCTGTCTGTCTGTCTCTCTCTCTCAAAAATAAGTAAACATTTAAAAAACAATTTTAAAAAAGAGCCTTTTCTCAATAACTAGTCAGTGCAGGTCCAGAAAAGTCTACAAATATTTACTAGGAACATTGTATATATCAGGCAGGCCTTTTCACACCCATCTAAGAAAATTCTACAGATAAGATGGACAAGTAGCACCCTTACCAAAAGCCACTTAAGCCTCCAGTTATATGTTGAGCCAGACAACTCAGACAGGCACTGGCAATTTCAAATCTGTTTGCTGTGTCAGCCTGAGAAAATGATAAGAAGCCCAGTAATAATCCACATCTAGCAATCAAAGTTAGTTTGAGAAACAGGAGGGTTTGGCAGAGGGAAGTCATCGGGGCACTGGCACTCACCTATGTTTGTTACATGACAGCTACTTGGTGTGGCTCAGTCCTTAGTGTTTTGAATCACATGCAAATGTCACCTTTAACTGCTGCCATCACAGACTGGCTCTGCTTTTTCACTTGCCAGTTTTGCCTACTCACTTTCAGATGTCACTGCTTCTATTTTATAATGGAGTAAAACAGTCATCGACACCAAAACCGGATCTACTCATTGCAATTTATTTCCCTCTCTACTCAGAGGTGCCAAAATAAGCATTTGCTTCTATCTGAACTAGCCTCAGGTCCCTGGATATTGCCAGCTGATGGTCACAGAATTACTCTCTCACACTCTGAAGTTACTTTGGCTATCAGGGCATTTTGAGCTTTCCTGGCTTCCAGATGAATTGTGAGAAGTTGGAACAGGGACCAGTGGTATCAAAACCAGAGAAGTAAAAAGTGTTGGTGCCAGTCCAAGTTCAAGTGGAAATAGTCATTCTCCTTTTGGGTCAATGAAAACTTAAGTTTGTGTAAAGTATTCAGAGGAAGACTTCTTTCACTGTATCACCCAACAGATATTTACGGTGTATCCCAGGCTCAGCTTAGCATGCACTGAGACTCTTCTCCTCTGCAGGAAACATTGAACCAAGTAAGTTGGAAAAGTTAGTGGATCTATTTCAAAGGCAAAAGCAAAACTAAGACATTTTAAAATTCTGATATTTGTAGGAAGAAATGCAAATAGGTTCTAGTCCCCATTTGTGAGAAAGCTTATCCCATGCTGTACTGCAAATGGCTTATATTGTGGGGAGAGACAATGAAGGTCACCAGTAGACAAACCGTGACATCAGGTGTGGGGCATCTGGAGGAGAATGTTCTTTGAAGAGGGAGAAATTCAGAGGTGCTAAGTGAAAACGTTCCTTCACTTTTGGATCATATCTGATGCAATTCAATTTGTCCCAACTCATTGTTATGGCAGGTTGTTAAGGTAAGGCAAGGCTTGTCTATGACATTCTTTCAGGAGGAGTATGAGAAAGGGAAGAACTGGCCACCAAAGCCATTGAGGAAAGTGGTCTATCATTTGAGGACGTTCTTCAGACTAATCTTTGTGGAGTTTGATCAAAACCATAAATGCCTTTCTTGGGATGTTCAACCTCTTTGCTCTCTGAGACATACCAAAGTTACAAAACAGCAGAGGGATCTGAAAGTCAGTCCAAAAAACACAGACATCCCTAAAATCAGCCTGTGAACTTGAGCAAATAACTTCAAAGCGCTTTGACTTTACATGCATAGATGCAGTTATACCTCTCTATTTTTCAGGTTAACACTCTCTTAAGCCCCCACCTGCCATATTAGAAGGAAATCAGATAATTTTACCTTCTTTCCCCACTCCAAATTTTCCAAAACCACAAGGCATTACACAGTCACAAGGAAGGACATTGGCATCCATTCAGTGGATTCACGCTGATGTCCACTCAGTGGAGAGTAGTGAATGAAAGGATGACGTCTATGGCCAGACTTCCTGGGTTTAGAGCCAACATCACCATTCACTAGCTATGGCCTCAGACACATTACTTAACCCCTCTGTGACCAATTTTCCTTGATGGTGATATATAGATAAAAATAATGCATATTTATTGGGTCATTGTGAGGCTTAAATAAATTAATCTTCCCAGGCTGTTATAACAAAATACCATAGACTGGGTGGCTTAACCAACAGACATTTCTTTCTCACAGGTCTGGAGGCTGAGAAGTCCAAGATCAAGGTGCTGGGTGTTCTGGTGTCTGGTAAGAACCTTCTTCTTGGTTTGTAGACAGCTTCGTACTCGCTGTCTCCTCACATGGGAGAGAGAGAGAGCGAGAGCTGGTCACTTTTTTTCTTCTTATAAGGACACTAGTCCCATCATGCGAACCCCACCTTCATAACCTCATCTACATCTAATTCCTCCCCCAAAATCCCACTTCCTAATACCATCTTTTTGAAGGTTAAGACTTCAACATAGGAATTTGGGGAGCACACACACATTTAGCCTGTAACAAGCTATACATTGATTATATTAGTGTTTGCATAGACTAGACATTCAATGAATAATGGTTCTTTGTATTACCATCTCCTTTGCTTCTCTCTTCCACACAGTGTCACAGTGTCACATGATATCACCATCATGAGTCTTGTTTTTGACAGTCAGAGGATTCTGTCATCTATGAAGTGAGGTCTTGTTGGTATAGCCCTGTGGTGGGAGGCTTCCAAGAAGACCCACACTGACTCCTACCTTCTGGCATTCATTCCCTTGTGTAGTCCCCTACCCTTGAGTGTGGGATGTACCCAGCGACTCACGTTTAATGATGCGAATATGAAAAGTGAGGGCATGGCACTTCTGAGAAATGTAAATTACAGAATGACTCCGGTTGGGGTGCCATGTTGTGGAGAGGTCCCTAAAGAAGGGACCTGAGCTAGGTCTTCAGTCAACAGCCAACAAGGAACTGAGGCTTACTTGTGTGAATGAGCTTGGAATCAGCCCTTTTGACCATCCAGTGAAGCCTTCACATGAGGCCACAGCCAAGCTGACATCTTGACTATGACTTTATGAGAGACCATGAGCCGGAGGTACCCAGCTGAGCTACTCCCAGATTCTTGACCCATACACACCAAGTGATGCTAAGTGTTTGTTGTT